CCACGGCTGGCTGCAGAGGCTGAGCCAGCTGGGGCTCTCTCGGGACTCCTGTGGGGCTGGCCTGCGGAGATAGGGGGCCTGTTCCTCGGAGATCAGGCCACCGCTGCCCCCACCCCGGCCTCGCCCCAGGGCCCGTGGTTGCGAGGGGCGTGGCCAGGCTGGCAGGGCGACAGGTCCGTTTGTTTGTAAATAAGCAAAATTCTTGGAGAACCCCCACTTATTACCCACGCAGGGCTGGGCGTTTCTCCACTCGGGGAGTCAGCCTGCTTCTTTCCTTCCTCCCTCCCTCCCCCCTAACGATTAGGAAAGGGAAAATCCATCCACCATCCCAGACTGATTGTGGCTGGGGGTGCTGGGGCGGGCCAGGAGCCAAGTCTCCCCCATTCCCCAGAGCCGCGGAGTGTGAAGGACCCCAGGAGGTGGGGACACTGGTACAGCGCCAGATGCTGCCCCAATTAGATCAAGGGAAGGGCTTGGAGGTGGGCTGTATCTTGGGCACCTGCAAGAGAAGACCAAGGAGCTCAACTTCACCCTGTGTGGGGGGTGTACGTGCATGGGAGGGGGAATGGCCACGCAGAGGCGCAGAAATCTCAGCGTTGAACTAGGATGCCACATCACTGAGTGCCAGTCTTGTGCCAGGTATTGTACTATGGACCTAGGCAACCATCCCGACATCAAGTGAATTCTGACCTGTAAGGACCCCCAGCTTTCTTCAACACCGCAGCCAGTGGGTTTCAGCCACTGACCGGTTAGCTGGGAGGCGCTTAAGCACTGCACCACCAAGGCTCCTTCTAGGCCCTGGGGTCACACAGGCAGTAGGAGCTTTGGTCCCTGTGCTCAGATGGGAGGGTGAGGTCAACATTTATAATCCAGGACAGCTTCCTACGACCTGGCTGTTCTGGGGGAGAAGGTGTAGCCTGCAAGCTTCACCCAACAGGGCCCTTTCTGAGAGCCATGTGAGACAGACCCGCATCATCGAGGTAAGGCACTTAGTGTCTAGTCCCTGGCATGGAGTGACAGCTCAATAATGGTAGCTATTATTAGCTGTGATTACAAGAAGCCACGGAATACACGTGGCGCATCTTCCTGGAGGGCCGAGTGGACTCAGCAATCGGAGTGGGCAGGGCATTGTCTCTGCATCGCAACAATCACAGGCCTGAGCTATAGATGGGGAAACCCACTGGGATTTGGGGCCAGTGAGCGAAAATGTCTGGGGCTGTAACTACGCTGCCCCTTTAGTCTACCTGCTCACCTCTGTACTCCTGCCCCCCCCCACCCCACCGTGGGTGCCCACCCCAGCTGTAACCAGAAGGCCCCTGCATTCACAGCAGAAGCACTGAGTTTCTAGTATAGCTCTGCTGGTCACTAGCTTGTGTCCCCTACCTGCTGAATTCGTGGGCCCTGTTTCCACCTTGGGAGCCTTGACAGTGTAGTGGGCTACATGTTGGGCCACTAAACAGCAAAGTCAGCAGTTCAAAGCCACCAGCAGCTCTGCAAGAGAACGATGAGGCTTTCTACTCCCATAAAGAATTAGTCTTGTCCTATAGGGTTGCTATGAGTTGGAATTGACAATGCCAGTGAGTTTGCTATTCCTCATCGGCTTAACTATATCTATACTACATCATCTCATTCAGCTACAAAACACAGCGCCTGCCCAATAACTGGGGCTCTAGTAATGTTAGGTTGTCGGGGTCAAGGAGACAGGCCTAAGGGGCTATGGTGGGAGCCAAGGAGCCCCTGTTATTGCTGATTAGCCTCCTGGGTGCTTCTGGGGGAGGAGGAGGAAGTAGAAACAGGGTCTTCCCGGCAGGGACTCCAGGTGGCCATGGGGAAGGGTCTGCAGGGTGGTCTGGGATGGGATGGTCATGACTTGAGGATCCAGTTTTGCCTTTAAATATCATCCTACCTCCCCTTCAGCTTGCTTAGCCCCCTCTCCTTTCTGGAACTCTGTGCATGCATTTTACAAGGTTTGGGTCCAATGATACCCCAAGCCCATTATGACATCAATAGTCTATAAAGATTCTGCCCAGGGCATCTACGCACTCAGTCAACAAGAAGTCTACTCACTGCCCTCTGTACTTCAGACCTGTGCCGATCATTTTTCCATGAGAACTGTCCCATGTCCTCAGCCCTCTCAACAACCCAAAGTCAGGGGACCATGCCATTGAGGAACCTAAATACCATGACACGCATCCATCTCACTAGCATGTCATTGCTGGTCTTGCAAAAGACCGTGATGGTGAGGGGGAATGATCTTGACGGAGAAAGGTTTAGGATCATATCTTGAGCCTTCTTAATTCCCTTGTAATAGCAACTGGTTATGAGTTGGCCCTCTGAGACTATGTTGGAAGCGTTCAGAACTTAGATGACAACTTCAATTAGTATAATTACCTTTTATGTTCTAAAATGGCGACCTGGAATAAGAATAAGAATGCCTGTGTAGGATTTTCGTCTGAGCAGGATGTTCTGAAATATGATGAAGCTTTAGTGAGCCAGTGATCTGCCGAACACTCACTCCCTGAGGAGCCTAGAGGCCAGGGTAGAACGGTCCCTGCACATTTCCAAGGGTGTAACTCTTCAGGGGAGTAGAAAGCCCCGTCTTCCTCCCTCCCTCGGAGGGGCTGGTAAGTTCAAACTGCTTATCTTGCAGTAAGCAATGAACAACCACCACCCCATCAGGGCTCCCATGCAGGACACAGTTCTGTTAAATCCTTCCAGTTGCTTAAGGAGCCGAGTACTGCTATCATCACCCATTATTTACAGATGGGAAAAGGTGAAATGAAATTTATCCACTTGCCCAGCTTGATACATCAGTAACTAATAGGGTCCAAAGTTGGGACCCCCCCCACTCAGAACTGTGTCTGGC